AGAGAGAGAGAGAGAGAGAGAGAGAGAGAATAAACTTTGACTTTACTTGACTAGTGCAGCTGACAATGATCATTTTTCATTATTATTAACACAGAAATAACGGCACTAAATATAAAGGTGAAACTTTACATGGTGTGATGGTACTAATGGACCATATCGCTACATGACAGATTTTCAGTTTGGTTAAAGGAATAGATTGACATTTCAGGAAATACATATATTTGCAATAATCAAGGTTGGGCAAGAAGATTGATACCACTGTCTAGTTTGAATGCTAAATATTTGTAAATATATTCAGTTGTTTAAATAATAATCAAGCTGTTCCCGTCTATCACACTGTACAAAATATACATTTTTTTATTAGCTTCCCAAAACAAAATTAAAGTCCATCAACTTTCTGAGAATGCTCTGATATTTATTTAGCCACCCCAAGGATGATTCTACGAAGATACAGCCAGAAAGAGAATGTAGTGTCGTTAACACAAATTATAATCAGGAACACATTATTGTTGAGAGTTTTTTGAGGCTTTTGGTAATTGTCAGACTTTATGGGTTATGCAAATGTAACGTTTCAGAAGGGGCTACTTTAGTTTTTACCAACACTAATGTGAGCTTTGCAGAGTTAAGCATCAAAGCACACATTTAAAACGGTATTTTCGCATTCTTCAGTGTGTGATGGTACCAACTGATCACACAGTGATAATCTGTGCATGAAGGTTGCATTTGGCAAGTTAAGGTAAGAAGACCGACAGCGCTCTTATTTCTAAACGCTAAATATTAGCTTAGCGCAGAACAGTGAAACAGATCGCTTGATGTAACGTCCACCTACCTACACTTAATTAATTAAATTAATAAATGTTTTATTTGTTTTTTATTAAATGATGGGCAGATATGGACATTTAAGTTTAAAACAACAATTCCCCGACAACAATTCCAGTTATCCATATGCTATCAGCGTATTTCTTTCATAACAAAAACCTGAATGGTTTAAATCGTTTTGTGTTTTTCACATTTTTATCACACAATTTTCAAAAAATTTGCAATTGCAAAATTGATGTTTTGCAACAGATAAACACTGAAAACTGATATTGCTGAATACGATCCTGTTCGCCGATATGCCGATACCACTCAACAACACTGACACTGGCCAGAAATGAGACTGTTAACACTTTAATTTCATTTCTACAAAGATTTGAATGTAAAATATATCTGTCAAAAAGCTCAAATAATAATGTTTAGAATGTATAAAAATGTATAGATACAGCAGTTCTCGGGTAGGCAGGTAAGGAATACACCATGCATAAATATGTAACATGATAATTATTTATAGTGGTAGGGAATTTTACTGACGTCTTTCGATGTTTTTAGCTTAAGCCAAACTAACAGGTTGCTAATAATATGATTATATTTTATGTGCTGACATGTGTTATCAATGTTCTTATCTTACTCTCAGGAAGAAAGTGTGAAGTTATTTCCCAAAAAGAAAAACTGCATGAACTTCGCACAAAAATAATGTTGTTTTGTGAAAATATTAATAGTAGTTTATACTGAAGGAAGAAATAAACACAATTCTTGCCCCTCTGCTTTATCTCTCTAGCCTTCAGCCTTCTACGTGCAGTCAGTTTGACTCCCTGCAGTGAAGCCTGTAGTAACTCAGCTGAGAAATGTAGGTTACAGAGCTCTCATTAGATATTCAGTGGACTAATACTCAGTCCACAGGCAGAGCTGGCACAACTCGACCCCAAGTGGATTACACTGGTTGAGATTTGAGATGTTCCTTTTTTGGATTTTTCTGTAAAAAAAAGAAGAGATTGAGCATTTCTTCTTTAGACATACAGCCCTTCATGGAGCCAATCCAACCCAACTGCTTAACCTACAGTCACCCGTATTTCTAACTACCAATAAAAAAAAGCAATGATCTGGTGCAATCTTTATCCTCCAGAGGCTTGTTTGTTTGATGGACAACCCTTGAACATGGCTGAGATTATGCAGCCCGGCTTGGATGTAGTGTACATATTTGCAAGCCCTACCTCCCCTGTGGGATTATCAGCAGCCAGATTAACTAGAAGCTTCTTTAGAGCACAAAACACTGAACTGAAAGAAAAGAGAGCCTGAATGAGAAACTACACACACAGCTTGGTATGCACTCTCATAGTTCACGTATAACCACTTCCATTCTACAGAGGGAGGTGAATTCACTATTGCAATCATATATAGTATGCCTAAGTTATGATGTATATAAGATATATGGTATTACTTTACCAAACTAAACTCATGAGATACCGTATACATTATTTAGACACGATAAGCATTCAGGCAAAACAACTAAATGTAAAAGAAATGTAACAAGAGACAAACAAGCCTATTTAAGCTTCAATAGACTGGCGAACTGGCCCAGGTCTGCCCTGCCTCTTGCCCCATGTCATGTCAAATAGGCTCCGGCCTTTCTGGACCAGTGAAATGGATAATGAGTTAAGAAAACGCACGGATGGATAGCACAATCTTATGTACTTCAGAGGTAAAAAAAAAAAACTCAGATAAAATACATTCAGCATAGATTAATACATATGCTCCAATAGTTTTATTTAAAAAAAAAACAAAACTATAATTTTCTTCAAGCCTCTCAGTGCTTAGACAACTCATAATGCCCCCAGGTAAAATGGTGTACTTAAATAGGGAAATGTGGGAGTAAGGCTCCTCAGAGTAAGTGTGCTTTCCGTGGCGAAGTTAAATTAGGCTCCTGTGCTTTAAGCGACAGTCCGCTGAGTGGCTGCACAGAGCGCACTACAAACCCACTGACCTGGTAACGCTGTGTACACACACTGAAAACAGGTCCCACAATAACACAGCAATAAAAAGAAGTCAGCCAATCCCTTCAAAAAGCTAGGGTAGGCAAACAGCGAACGCTTTCAGACTCACACACAGAGAAGAAGCACACGTACACTATGCTTCCATCATACCTCAGACTTGTATTTTAAAGAGTTGGCAGGATTTATAGATCAATTAGGACAGAAAAACAGAGCAGGTGTGGCATCACTTACACCAAAAGTCAGCTACGAAGACAATAATGCAGTGAAACATCACAAGCGTATTGCTTGTTTTGAAAACGTTATCATCTGTTCAAGCTGTTTTGTAAAACACTGGAAAAATTATTTTGTCAATTAATTGTTCTTTGACTCTTTCTTTAAAAAAAAGAGATCCGTTACAGAAAATTCTCTTTTTAGACTTTTTACATAATGATTTTCTTTTTTTTTGATGGATAATGTCTAAGTTTGGACAAAATCTATCATAACACTTACTCTGAACTATTACTTATGTCTAATATCTGAGCAATGGAGAAAAACTGTAAACTGGTTAACTGAGACAGACAATCTTCACAGTTATTATTACCAGTTCAAATGTAATAGTGCTGTGACATGTAATGTATTCACTCAAACTAATTTACAGACTTTTATAAATGATTCTAATAACTGTATGAAAGGAGAGAAGAATGTCATGATACATGAAATTACTGGGCTGTTTCATAGTGCAATGTTAGAAAATCATAATGACAGAAATGGGTGCTACCTTTCCAAAGTCTCGGACATCGAAGAGATCAAAGGCTTCAAATAAGTCACTCTTCTTCATCCCAAACACATCACAGCAAGAGGCCAGAAATGTCCGGATGTTTTTCAAGCACAGGAACTGCAAAGGGCAGAAACAGACTGTTATATAACATAAAAAGTTGTATGTAGATAGATTTCATTTTACATTGTTTACATTTTTTGTAACTAGTTTTTGTTTAAATACATATGTGAAAACATAAAAAGTTGTTTTTAAGGTTAGATCAAACCCGACCTCAGTACAGATTACAGGTTTCAAGAGGGTTTTATCGCCACAAGATTTTTAACACTCATCATAGCGAAAAACTAACACCAAAGTACAGTAATCTGACTTTTTTTTAAATAAACAATTTTACTTGGAATTATTTTGAAGAAACGGATCTTATGTTCCGAAACTGCTGACAGCACTGTTTGCGTTTTTGCCTAGAATAACAGTCGTGCTGTTTCTGAAAATACCTGTCGCTGTTGAATTAGTTACGTGGGATCTCATTTAATCTAGAGCTAGCAGACAAAAATTAAGTCAAATAAAAACTAAACTACCAACATGAGTAGATACCACAGTAACATTAAAAGTGTACTTTCCGTTGTTTGGAAAATAAAAACAAAGTCTTTAACCTCCTTGTAATGTAAATCAAGTTTAATTTACAGCATAATTTAAAGCACCAAGAATTTAAAGTCCCTTTTCTAAACATAAAAGTAAACTACAGCCCCTACAAACTGAAAATGAAAAATGAAAGTTTTATACTGTGAAATGAAACCGCCAACTATGTCCTCTGTTGGTGTCACTTCCTATTAGGATCTTTATGTTAGTGGGAAGACAGCAGCCAACAGGAACATTGGACATAAAGTTATGGTTTAGAATTCAAGATACTCGTCTTTGTCTAGTTTGAGCCACTTCAGTTAAAAAGAAAACGTATACAGCACTGTTAGATCGCCTCAGTTCATTTTTCCTGTCAAACACATTGCTGAGAAATGGCTGATTTAGAAACTGAATATTTAATAACTTAAGCAGTAAGTAAGAAAATTCTTGAGAACAGATAGGCTTCTTTTTATCACATCAGCTCATCATGGAGACGCCTGTAATCACTCCGCCGCCCCCAGGGGCCCTGTTTGTCTACGGAGGAAGTGCAAGAACATGATGGCTTTGCACCACCAACAGCCTCATGCTTTTGAACACAGTCACAGCCCTGGTGCACATTCTTTTATTCACATTTAGAGTAACACCCAGAATCTCTGGCTCCACGATAATAAAAATACTTTTTTAAACACCTTTTAAGTTTATTATTTTTCATTTTTCATTTTCAGTTAATAGTGGCCTGTTTGTGATTTGTTTAGCTAAGTTTACTTCCTGTTATATTTAAACTAGACTACTTTAAAAAGCTTTTACTTTGTATAACTTTGGAAGCAAATAAGAGAGGCAGTGGGTATTTGCGTATCCAATGCGTATTTGTTCATATTTGTTCATGACTGACAGGGTCAAAATGGTTATGTGAATTGTTATTTGAATTTGTACCAAAACTCAGCATACAACACGGGTCTTGGGTAACCTTTCATCAGTGTACACTTTAGTCGTGTTCACCAGTGCCCTTGTTTGTTTTTTCGAAGATAGCCCATCAGTAGATGAGAATGAAAGAGCCATTTAAAATATGGAGCCCACTGACACACATGCCTTTTGCAACCATTGCCAAGTGGCCTACAGCTACAGGCTATGTCCATCCATTGTTTGGCCTGTTATGCCCTGGGTTTGCTTTAACTCTCTTTTAAAAAATATTAAAGAAAAGCACATAGGCACTGGTGAAGCAGATAGTGCAAAGCATAGCACATGTGCATAGTACAGTTTGTGAGACAGAGCCCAATCACTCATGCAGATCTATCACTACAAAAAAAATATCATCATGATGATCATATCATGGTGACAGCTCATTTCAACCAAACTGTATATAATTTGCTTTTAGTGCCTAACTATTTGATGTCAGCTAACAAATTATAAAATGTATTTATGTTCTTGTGTGTGTGTGTGTGTGTGTGTGTGTGTGTGTGTGTGTGTGTGTGTGTGTGTGTGTGTGTGTGTGCATCACGTCACTGTCCTTTTATGGTGTATTATTAACGGTTTCTTTGACTTTAATCGTTCATTACTCTTTCAACTAGATGCAGAAAGATCTAATCACCTGCCTGAGTCTGCTGCTGAACAGGAAGTGCTGCTGTTACAGTAACGTAGGAGCACAGAAAACGTATAAATATATTGGTAACCACGGCAGGCTTTATTTATGTTTGTAGGCACACCTGCAAATACATATATTACACCAAGGAAGATGCTTTTAATTTAAAACATTAAATTGTTATGTTTTGTTTTATTTTATTTAACTGGCCAAGACAGTAATGCAAGAGATTTAAATAAAAATTAGCTTAAAATTGGCTTATTACACATGTCATATGCCATCAAACCAAACGGCAAGCCACTGCACAAAATGTAGTTTCCCAACTAATGGGTGGATCAAAGGCAGGATTTTATCAGATGTCTCCAGAGCCTTCAGCTCCTGAAGGGTTACTGCATGAGCAAGGAGAAGTCTATTTGGACGATTTCTTAGTGTTTCCCAAACCAGACAAGTTTCACACAAGCTAAAGAACTTTCTCTCCTATCCAGAAAAAAAACAAAGATCAAGACACCAGAACAGGACACAGAAAGTGAAACATCATCTTCACAATAAAAGAAAAGGGTGAATATATCTGTCAGAGGCCACTCCACGGCTTTAGTGAAACTTATCTGTTGGACCCAAAGCCAAATAAGACAGGACACAAATAAAACGGTGTGTAACAGATGGAAATAATCTAAAGCTCGCCTTAAGCTGCAAATCATTAGAATTTGTGGTTTTATTTTGAAAATATGGAATAACTTAAAGGGAAAATCTCACCTAAGTCTAACCTTTAATAAAACTGGAACAGGCTTCTGTACCCTAATTACTGTAGCTCCTTGCAGGCAGAACAACAAAATATAAAACGCTCTAATATAGCTTCCACCATTTCTCTTCCATGTATTTAGGAACCTTATTTAGAATTGCTACAGCTTGATCTTCTTAATAAGGAGCTGCAAATATGTCTTTGTCCACTTTCACAAATTTTTGATTAGGCGTCCTCTTCCACCAGCGGAACTACTTTGGTTCTTTACCAGTGGTTATTGGGCTAATAAACTGACTTTTCCTGGACACCACTATAGGTTTAGCTTATGGCATGTTAGTGAACGCATGAATTTGATTTCACAATATTTTTTACAAGTAATTCGTAAAGTAGCGCATAAAATGATGGATGTACCTGTGACATTTGTGGCCTGAGATTGATCTCCTTTAGGTTGATAGTGTGGGGTCTTAGGTTGTTGAGTAGCTGGCACAGCAGCACCCCGTCCCGCAGGGTTTGCGCCAGGTCGAACACCTGCGCCGTGTCCGCAGTTACCCGGTGGTTCGCAGGCAGCACGTTGCAGCTGATCAGCCACATCGCACATTGCCTCCAATACTCCATGTTGGCGAAGAGCGGAATAAACCGCAGGCCAATGTTAAATTTAAAAACTTTGTCCGCTTATGAAGTCTGTGCACGGCATGGGGAAGAAGCTGCGTCCTGAGCCATCCTCATGTCTCTTCAAACTCCAGCATCGCCTCTGGAGGACAGACGAGCCGCTACAACTTATGAAAGCAGCACAGATGGGGGTGGCTGTTCTGAAACCCCCTGTGTTTGAGTGAACTTCCTCTTCCTTATTTTGTAATCTTTCCGTTCCTAAGCGTCTTATTTTGCTTGTTTGTTTGTTTGTTTGTTTTCTTAGTTATGTCCCCTTATTTATGAAACGAGTCATGTGCAGAATTTTACGAAAAAAAGCTGTGGAAAATCAGGTCTTTGTAAGGCGTCTGTGCTTTTAACACATGAGCAATTGTTTAATCATACGTCTGTGCAGAAATGTTCTCCTGTTCGCCACATCTCTGTGAAAGAACATTGATTCACCTTTTTTTTTTTACTTTAATTTCTCTACTAAAGTTGCAGGCAACGGATAAAAATATTCTTATTTACTCATAGATTTGCTGGTTTCTTTGTATTTGAGGAACTGTCAGTGATCATTCGCATGTTTCAATTAGAGCAAGGGGCAAATCACTTGAAACAGGTTTAGTTCTTCTGCCACCATAAACACCACTTGAAAAGTCAGACGACCGCAGTCAGTGCCCTATACTGGCCAGACGGCTATGCACTGATATAGGGAACAATATAAAAAGACGTGGCTTCCATTGTGCATCAAAAGTATTGGTAGGAAATTTGTCAGAACTCAATAAGCATGCGTGCAGTTATCAAGGATCGCGATTTTTATGCCGTGATAACGCCAGAGCATTTTACAGCAACCTGTAGGGGGCGCCAGAAACGTACAAGCATTCTTCAAAATCATTGTGGATTACAGCCTACTCGACATAATTGTCATTTTATGACAGTTGTGTTATTTGTAAGCCCGGGCTTTGTGGACACATATCCCTTGGCCTTATAGGTGAAAATCAAAAAGGTCCCAAAATTAAAAAGTCCCAATCAGCCACATGCACTGAAGTTCCCCTACCCAGAAGACTTGGAAGGCTACCATGATGGATTGAGTCTAATTTACATTATGTGGAAAATTGAATATGGATAAACTGAGCAACATACACTCAACAGTCGCCTCACAACAGGCATCTCGGTGAACTGTATAAATGAATGAATACGCTTGTGCTAGTAGTATCATCGTTAGACTGAACTTGGATCATTGCAGTCTTTGTTCTGTGCTCTAAAGAATCACATGTAAGTAAGTGGGTGAATGATTGTTTGGGGGGGGTTCAGTGGTTTGTTAGGCTATTAATATGACCTTGTAGCCTCCGGTGTTATTCTTGCTGTTTGCAATTGGTCTTGACCTTAATAACCTTTACATTTTGTTCAATGGAAAAACATTTAAATGAAATAATTAAACATTTGCAATTTCTTTTCAGTGTTTTGCAAATTCTGCGTTTTGCTGATGTTCAATAAATTAAATGTTCACTTGAATTAAATATAAACTAATTT